ATCCACTTGTGTGGAACTTCCAATCAGCATTTCCAACTCTCTTCTCTTTATCATAAATAATCAAGGGTTAATGGGCACTTGAGAAAAACCTCTAGTACGAACAAACAGACCCGAATAATCAGATTAGAGGAACTTAGAATGGTATATGCTGTGGATTCTTTTAAAACCTAATTTTTTTTCAGAGATGATACTCCACTCAAACACAAAACAAAACCAAAAAACCCAGAATGTTATTTAGAAATGTTTTTAAAAAGCTCTTGGGAGGTCCTTGGGCCTCACAACATACATATTTAAGACCTTGCCACCTACTTCGTGGCATCTAATTATCTATACATATATAGACATCTAATTATATATATTATATATAATTATAGACATCTAATTATATGTATATTCTTTAGTTATATTACATCTAATTTTTATATATATATATATATATATATATATATATACACATATTCTTTTTATTTAAGTAAAAGTAAAGACTTTTTTTTTGAGATGGAGTCTCACTGTCACCCAGGCTGGAGTGCAGTGGTGTGATCTTGGCTCACTGCAACCTCCGCCTCCTGGGTTCAAGTGATTCTTCTGTGCTAGCCTCCAGAATAGCTGGAACTTGCAGGCGCACAGCACCATGCCCAGCTAATTTTTGTATTTTTAGTAGACGGGGTTTTACTGTGTTGGCCAGGCTGGTCTTGAACTCCTGACCTCAAGTGATTAAAAAATGCACTGGTGCCGGGCACGGTGGCTCATGCCTGCAATTTTAGCACTTTTGGGAGGCCCAGGTGAGTGAATTGCTTGAAGCCAGGAGTTTGAGACCAGCCTGGGCAACACGGTGAAACCCTGTCTCTGCAAAAAATACAAAAAAATTAGCTGGGTATCATGGCATGTGCCTGTAGTCTCAGCTACTCTGGAGGCTGAGGTAGGAAGACTGCTTGAGCCCAATAATTCAAGGCTGCAGTGAGCCATGACTGTGCCACTGCACTCCTCTGTGGATGACTAAGACCCTGTCTCAAAAAAAAAAAAAGAAAAAATCAAGCTCTTAGAAATTAGAAGGTATGATGGTGGAGGAAAAATACAGGTATTGACCGACTTACGGCCTATGCAACTTACGACCATTGGACTTTACGACCACAATCGCTAGCCACAACTGCTCCGCATCTGGCAGCGCAAACGTTGCCCAGCTGGGCGTACGACAGTGCGAACCAGCTTCCGGCAGCACTGCCAAGAAAGAAAATTATGATATATAACAATAATGAAAGAAAATTATGATAAAATATGACAAAGATTTTTATAACATCATTTCACAGTACTGTACATATAGCCTACTCAACTTACGACCAAACCGTGTTACGGCCGGTCTGTCGGAACCAATCGTGGTCGTAAGTCGAGCACTAGCTGTATCATAGAAGGATTGGAAGGTAAAGTTGAAGAGAGTAACAGAGATGGAAAAATAGGAGTGAAGAGATAAAGTGGAAGGTTAGTAAAGGAGTTCTAACATCTGAATGATAAGGATAAGAGAAACTAGCAAAAAACCAGAAATCAGAGAAATCGGAAAAAAAAAGAGAGAGGCAATTATCAATGAAGTCATTACATTCCCCAGGATTTAGAAAATATGATTTTGATGAAAAGGTTCAGTGTACCAAGCACAGAGGAAGGAAACACCCTCTCCAAGGCACATGATCATGGGCCAGAGGAAAATAAGGTTCCAAGAGTTACAAGAAAGAAAGTGGTCACATACAAATGTCTGCTAGACCACAGAACAATGCCTTCAAAATTTCAAATAAAAATGTTATCTAAACACATGCTGTTAAAACTATCAATGATGGGAAAAGAGAATAAAGCCATTTTCAGACATTTCAGACCTCAATTTTATCTCTTACACATGGAACTTACTCAAGGATGCATGCCACCAGAAAGAGGGAATAAGTCAAAAAAGGAATACACACAACACAGAAAATAGGAAATTTAACATAAGAGGCAAAGGGAATCACCAGGGTGGTGGTATGCAAAAGTCAATGGAATCACAGAGATCTCCCACATGGCTGAGACTATGAAGGTATTATGTTCTTAACACAAATGGCTTAAACACAAGCTACATGACTCTTTGATTATCTGAGTAAGAACACTGTTACCTAAACTGAAATACAGAAATTAAAAATCTGCCTGAATTCCAGGTTCTATATAGTCCTATACATTTCTATATGCAGATGCGCATGAAGCTGGTAATAGCAGTGGCCTTGGCTGGGTGCCATGGCCCACACCTGTAACCCAGCACTTTCGGAGGCCAAGGCAGGTGGACTGCTTGAGCTCAGGAGTTTGAGACCAGCTTGGGCAACACAGTGAGGCCTTGTCTCTATTTTTAAAAATAAAATACAAACCAAACAGTAGTGGCCTTTAGGGCAGGTAGGTTGTGGGCCCCTAGGAAAGAGATGAGAATGACTTTTCACCATTCACCCTTTTATTTTTTTTGACTTGTGTACTGCAAATAGTACTTGTTCAACAATGAATATATTCCCTAATTCAAACAAGAATGGAATGAAAAATATCTGATCATCATAACAAGGATATTTTATAAAACTTAAACATATAAAACTAGATTTAATATACATATTAATATGTTCACTATGTGTTAAAGAGGTTATGACAGAAAATGTTTCTTATTGAAGGTTGCAAATAAATTTGAAAGCAATAAACCAAGTACTTTGGTAGAGACCTGCTTTCCTACAATATTGAGCATTCACTGGGTCCAGGGCAATCCCAGATCTGAGATGTTTGTGCCCTTGTATGTGGAGGTGCACATGGAAACAAACAGCCTCACCTGCTGCTGGTATTCCAGGTGCAGTGTCCACTCATGGCTGCTCTAGGCCCGCCACTGTAAACTGTTAGGGAGGGCCTCTGGCTTTGTGTGAGAAGACCACTATAGGGAAACTTTTTACAAAATAAAGATGACAAAACATCACTGTTACATCATTTTTTAATTTCAAGGAATATTTTCTAAAATTATTAAAATCATATGTTTATTCCAGTATTTTAAAATATTTTCTGTAACATTCCACTCAGAAGGTAGATAACCACAAAGTTCTTCCCTAAGGAAGGGTGCAAATGGAATGTAATATATTACTGTATATATTATTCTACAGAGTACTGTAGAATACAAACTGTGAAGACAAGGAAATTTAATTATTCAGTTTTTTCCTCTACATTGTTTCTGCTGGAGAACTGCTCACTTAACATCCTAGAAGCTATCTTGTTGAGATTTGCTATCCCCATTGTAGGAGTGATGAATTTTACTGTGAGTAAAATTTACTCACAGTCATTTACTCACAGCATAATGAATGTGGCACTGCCTACATCCATCCTGTGGGACAGCTAAAAAGACAAGCCCTCAGCAGCACACGCCAACCAATCTATCAGAGCAAGCATGCACATGTCTATTCTGCCAAAATCCTCCAAGTTAATTTTTAAATAGCTAAAATATGATCGAGATCATATGGGAACTGCACTTGGAACTACAAACATCCTCTGTTCATAAATGTTCACTGTTATAGCAACAGCATCTTGGGACAGTGAAGGACACAATCACGTTTTTAAAAATCAAGAGGTAAACACAAAAGGGCATTTGCATGAGGCAGAGAATCCTGTTTCTTGGCAGCAGACGGAAAACTGGCTAAAGAAATAGGCTCACAGATAGGTACAAATCTACAATTTGATTCTCTGAGTATTAGTCTTGGAGACATAGCTATACACATCCCAAAACACAGCCTACTATTTTACATTAGTAGTTTCTTAAACAGTTGGAAGAAAAACCTAACAAAACCCAAACCAAATCATATTTATTAACCACTTTAATAAGCCCTTTATTCTTTATCAACCACTTTATTCCAGGTTTGGTTAGTGTAATCATGAGACTATCTAGCCTAATAGTCTAGAGAAAATTCTCTGGTTCCCAGAAGATGCCTTGCTATGTAGCCATTAATTATTAAGCTCCTAGTAAACCCTGAATTAGATACAGAAATGTGCAAAACAATGATATATTTCCAAGAATGTGAAAAACAGAGATTTAAGGCAGATGGTAACTCTAAGAGTCACACGAGTCTTATATTGGCACTCTGGAAATGGCTCATAGCAAAATCTAATTTTGAGGAGGCCAGCACAGTGGCTCATGCCTGTAATCCCAGCACTTTGGGAGGCTGAGGTGGGCGGATCACTTGGGTCCAGGAATTCGAGATCAGCCTGGTCAACATGGCAAAACCCTGTTTCTACAAACAAAACAAAACAAAACAAAAACAAACAAACAAACATTAGCCAGGTGTGGTGGTATGTGCCTGCAGTCCCAGCTACTTGGGAGGCACAAGGAGGTGTGAGGATCACTTGAGCTCAAGAGAGAGAGGCTGCAGTGAACCAAGGATGGTGCCACTGCATTCCGGCCTGGGCAACAGAGAT